GCGGGTCTCAGCTTAGGGAGCGGGTCTCGACTTAGGGAGCGGGTCTCAGCTTAGGGAGCGGTTCTCACCTTAGGGAGCGGGTCTCACCTTAGGGAGCGGGTCTCGATTTAGGGAGCGGGTCCCGTTCGTATCGCTAATGAAATGTTAAACGCCTTGAGGAGCCTTACACACGTGTGTCTCTCGCCCTCCCCAGGCACCCAGCGTCTTCCTGGACTCCTCGGGCCTCTCAGATGACTCCATGTCCGGGGCAAGCGCGATGTGGCCCACGCAGATCCCTCCCAGATACTCCCCCCCCTATTACCCCCCAGACGACAAGCCCCCACCATACAGCCCCTGAGGCACCAGCCAGTGGAGAATACCCAGAAGGGAGAGGTGGTCGTAATCCCCCCCCCCCCTTTTTTTTTGGCGTAGCGAAAGAGGAAGGGAGAGGCTCGTTCTTCTTGGGCTGGAGTCTCGCCCCGACTGAGTTCCGGGCCACCGCCGCAACGCCTCTCGGCCGCTGGCTACACCCACGTCACTGATGACGACGGACCACGACGTGTGCGCTGCTTCAGCTCTTCATACTGGTTTGGAAACAGGGCTGCCCACAGCTTCGTTGGAGCAGGGCCGCCCAAAGAAGCAAGACCGAACTCAAACCTGAGTCAAAAAAGTGTAGCAGGAAGGCATTCCTGTCCTGGAGGACACAGGAAGAGCAAAGGAGCGTAACCCAGACTGGCGTTCCAGGCATCAATTTGCCACCGCAGGGTTGTGATGTTCGTAAAATCGTCCTACACACTGCTCTGTCTGGCAAGCCACGCTAGACCTTCCTGTCAAGCTCTGGGGGACATCAGGACCGTTTATAGAAACACTTTAATGACCTGGCCAGCTTCTAGAATCACCGTCCCTGACCAGATCAGAGCTCCACCTTCCACAGAGAATGTCAGTGATCTTTTAGCTCTGCCGCTTCCTGTGTGTCTTGTTCAAATTAGATTGCTTCCAGTCTAATGAGGCGGCTCTTCTCGATGCGGCTGCTTTTTTGCGAATTACGCCTACATACGTCACGGTTGCATTTACCAACATTCAAGTACGATATGCAGACTGCACCAGGTGACCTGTTCTTCTCTTTTGGTTTTGTGTGGGCAGCTAGATTGGGGTAATTGTATTCAGACTGTTCAGCCTTAACCATGATGTGCAACATGTGGAAGTTTACATGTGTCCCATTACGTATTAATGAAGCATCATCTCTGCCAAACTCAAATGGTACAGCCCACCACACCCACCTAAACAATCCTGTAATAATAGCTTTAAGTCAGCTGCAAGCGTTTTATAATGCGTCATATATACAGTCGGGATCTGCATCACCTTCCTTTTGAGTTGTGACATCAATTTCGTTGTGTTTGTTGCACTGAAAATGTAGCATAAAAATGATAATTCTCTGTCTTTTTTATAATTTAAGAGTAAGGGAGATTTTAAGACTCAGGATCTTGTTTTTGAGCTGTTATTTATTTTCAGGTTTTTCACAATACAGGAAATTACTTAAGAATTATTATTATAAGGTGTCGACTCTTTAATGTTGTGCTATTTTTGTATAATTAGCAAACTTAATTTGAAAAAAACTTGGCCTTTTTTTATCGCGAGAATCTAAACTACCAAAATTCCTATATTTGGAACTTTGAGCAATGTTTTTACCAGGCTCATGAATATTTATCTTACTGATAACATATTCTGACCAATCATACTCAATGGACTATTCATTTGTACCATAGACGGCCTCCGTTAACTTGGATGGACCAGTTAAGGCTAAGCTAACATAAAGATGATACGTAAGCATGGCCCTACCTGCTGTTTTTAAAGTTTCTAGCAAAAGCATTACTCTGCAAACCATAACCAAAATGCAGTAGAGAGCCCATGGCCGGTGGGGAGCGAGCGGGTGAGATGTTTTGTGTGTATAAACACACACACATCCTGTTTGTTTATGCTGTGCTAGCTGTCTGGGATAACGCAGCCTCTGTCGGAATACACCAAAGGCTACTCTCTCTGTGGTGGCTCACTTCATAAATGAACGAAGAAATAAACAAACAATAATCATCGCCATGCTTTTCAGAACAAGGACAATGAAAGGTGTCCAACTTATTAACTTTGTACTGTGAGGAATGTAACAGGCACCAAATTGTATGTCTTGTACCTGCACCTGTTTTTGTGTGAGCTGTGTCTGTGTACGATATAGTCTGGATATCAGCGTATGCCCTTCCTTTACAGTGTAGTGGGTTTCATATAATTTGAACATAGCTTTTTTTTATAAACAAATTCACCATCAAACTGTCCTCTGTATTCACCCTGGACTGAATGGGACATACATCTAATAAGCACTTATATATTAACTCGTATATTAACTGATTTCACATTTTCTATTATTAGATGTAAAATTAAAGTGATTAATAAATAAATTCATGTTACGGTAATGGAGACAGAAGTTGTACTCTTCTACATAAAATCAAGGACAACATTTTTCTGGTTCATGTTGAGATGATTGATGATTTCAAACACTAAAATCACATAAAATATATACTATAAACAATATATAAACAGTATATAAAAAGTAATAAAAGTTTCAAAAGTATGGCATAAGTTTGCAGAGATAAAGTCAAGCTAGAGCACTTTTCTTAATTATTTTTTTCCCATATAGCATGTTGAAACCAAAGCTTTACTTGTACACTGTAGTGTTGTAAATGAGTAAATGATTTACACACCTTTATTCTGCCAGCTGCACTGTACACTGGTGTTCCTGCACCAACCAGTATTAGTTCCCTGATTGATGGAGTTATTGATTTAATAACTGCCATCATTTATACCATGGTAACCTGACTGCATCAAATGTGATTGCTAAAGCAATTATCCCTCCACCCCTTCCTCTTAGCACAGGGTTGTGGTCGGCATGGAGCCGGTTCCGGCATGTTTTGGGTTGTCCGTAAAATGAATTTCATTACGGTAAACAGCTGAATTAAGGTAATCTATACACAGGCTTGGCTAAAACCAATATATAAAAGGCTGACCAAGGCAAAAACTAAGAATTACTACTATAGAATGAGCAAAAATGACAAGTATTATGTCCGAAATGCAATAGTTTTATGAAATTCAGTTCAATTTATTTTTATGTAGTGCCTTTCACAACAGAGTCACCCCAAGGTGCTTTACATCGGTGTGTTGTGATACATTACAACTTACAACTTAAGACAGAATACTACAGGGAAAAGGAAGGACAGAGAACTGAAATAACGCCACCATGCGATGCCTTTCAGAGGATTCCGGCAGGCCGCCATATGGGACTAAATCCTCAGCTCAAAGATCTCAACCAACCACTTTCCCCGGACAGGAGAAGGTCCCCCCCCAGGGGCCCAGAGGAATGCAGGCCGTTCCTTAACATCTGCATTTATGCTGAAGCAAAGGAAAGCACAGGCACGAGTCGCCGCTTCCCCGGGTTTTAGGGGACAATCGGCGATACAGACCTCCGCTGCTGTCATCTCGGACCATTCAGCACTTGGCCTGTCGGATGGCAGCTTACTGGCGGGGGGGGGGGGCTTCGCTGTCTGTACCTCACAAAAAGCAGGGTCACCTTTTCTCCGAAAAACACACATTAAGGGGACATTTTAGACCAGAGAGAAACTGACGGCTGTGAGCGTTGAAAGTGGACGTTAACATTCTACCAAGCTTCCAACCCAAGTTTCACCTTCTCCTGCTCCCCAGAGGGAGCAAATAACGAAAGAGAATATTAAAGACATATGAACCATTTTAGGTTCCCCTTCAGCATTTATTAATGGAACAACACTGCACACATTTCTCCCTGAGGTGTTGTAGATCTGGCCACTTTAAAACAAGGAGTTGATTTTAAGATTTTTTACTGCTATATTCTTGCCTACACCTTCCTCATTAAAAAGTTTTGTCTTGAAATTCCTTGGTCTGATTCGAGATTTTATTAATGTGCACATCAGCTCTGAGAAGCCACAGCATGACTTTCTGGCAAGGATCCATCGTGGATCTCCTGAGCCGAGCCGACTGTCCAGGGTCTGCAGAGGCTGTCGGCTGTGGAGGCGGAGCAGGAGGGACCTGGGGGCACAAGCGCTGACGTCTGCTCTCTGCCGACTCCTGTTCTGTTGGAATGATTAAGGGCACAAGCGGGACTGGAGATGTCTCACGGGGGCGTCTGCTCGCCTGCTTCATTCAACCGTCAAGACCTTGTTGCTTTTCCAGTCCCATATCTTACAAAATGGTTTCACCCAATGGCTGTTGTTTTATTTTTCTTGTGAAGGATGACTAGCGCATAATAGTGATAATCACCATCGCACAACCACACATGGCCCGGTGAATATGCGATGTACTCTTCTGTTGAAAGTCCCATACGATAAAGTTTCCTTTAAAATAACACATTACTGTTATGCGTTTTACTCAAGTCATATAAGCTCTTTATATGACACTCAAAATAAATGTACAATTCAGATTAACTTGATGTGTCATTAGATATGTATGTACTTTATTGACATAAAATACATATGAAGTGAATCCACCATCAAACATCCTACATTCACACCTAAAAGTCCTACATTCATGTACAATTCATTTTAAATGTATGTCATTAGTCATATAAGTCCTTTATTCAAGTAAAAGACATATTAAATTAATGTTTTGTCAAACACATACATTCTAGCTTGATTTACAATGCATATTACATGAATGGTTTGTCAGTAATAGGTTTTTGCATAATTCTTTGAATGGACTAAAGTGAATCTTGGACGGTGGTTCCACACAACTAGAGTGAGAATTTTGAAAAGGAAACATACTTTCAGATGATGTGTTCACTTTGTGTTCTGAGAACAAAACATGAATTTTGTAATGTCCAATTAAACCGACTGAATATTGAGAGATCATACATGTTTTTCATTAGAATGATATAATTCTTTATTAACAAACAACAAGCAATAAAAATGTATTTCCGCTAAAGCAATATGTTATCAGGTGTGGTAAAATTTTAAATTTTTCCTTTTTGGTGTTTTTGGTATGAATGTGGCCATAATCGTACAAGAAATAACACTGATTTGCAATGAACATATTAAAAACATCATGCATTGTCATATGCAGCTGAAATCAGAGAAATGATTGGTAGCCATATATGAACCATAAGTTGTTGTTCATATGGAGTCAATCTGCTTCACAGATCATACAACTGCCCCTGAATAGAACGCGATTGACTTATTTTTATCTGTACACAATTAAGCAAGAATTAGACCCTTAAAAGAGGATTCTAATTAGTAATGTACCTCATATTGACAGATTATACAATAAACCAGCATTCCTCTGCTCATTAGAAGATGGGAGTAATTATCCATAACACTTAGTGTAAGCTGTACTAATCAAGCTATTCCTGGTAGGAGGAAAATTTATGTTAGAATTATCCTGAGACATACCAAGCTAAAACATGCACATGGATATAATGCACACTTATGTATATGAATTTGCATAAGCATGCAATAAATATGCAATATATCTATACATTGCTGGGTTACTGTTTGTGCATCACTCGTCTCAAGGTTTCTGTACCTGTTAACAAACGTTATGTAAAAAACTGGCATGCTGTAAAAAGAACTGAGCAACAAACTAGTCATCTACATGTGCAAAACCAAACAGCAACAATCATATTTCTTGTTCCATATTGAATACCAAAGCTTCAATGATTACATAAATCATTCCTCCCCACAAGTTCTGTGATTACAAACCCCAGTTTGTAATCAAAGTCGGGATTTCATTTTTTTATATGGAGTAAAATGAATGAATTGTCTTTTTGCATTAAGAGCTGAAACCTGGTAACTTGTAGGTGGATTCCCATGTGACTCAACCATTTCCTGCATATTCAATGGTCATTAGTAGGATTCTCTTTGTTTAGTGAATAAACAATATTTGGCGAATACACATCTTTTGCAGCAGCAGCATGAAAACACAATTTATAATGCACTAAACTTTATGAAACGTACGTGACACAGCATTTCCTCTGGTGATCTTAAAGATTCAGCTCAAAGTAATGAAGTGTGGGATGTCTAGCACCCTCTACTGACAGCAGTTCAATACAGCTCCCAAAATACAAGGACACTAAATAAAAGAGTCTGGTTAAAGCCAGTGCACACTTATTCAAAATGATTATCCGTAAACTTTTCTTCTTGGTCTTTTGGCCTTGCCTCTTGTTCCAGCCCTCATGTGTATCACTCCAGCTGCTCCTCGTCCGCTCCCTCATTAGTCCAGTATAAGAGTACCTTCCAGTCCTGTGCTCCCAAGTCCCCAGTGATGTTGCCCTACTGTTGGCTCCAGTGCTTTTCCCTTTTGCTAGCTGAGCCTCTTGTTCGACCCCATGTGGTCTGCCTTCTGTTTGCCCTGTTCCCAGGTCCATAATAAACCCCTTATCAGTTTGTCTTCACTCCTGATTTTGCCTCCTTTGTCGTCAGAATGTGACAACATCTGAATCACTTCAGATATGGTTCATTTGTACGATTTACACTTGGTCATTTACTGGTATTTTCAGGATGAATTAATATAGTACATTAATTTACTAAAAAAAAAATTGTATTAAGACAATAAAACTATTTGCATTTAATGCCTTGAAACATAATTTTCTGGATCAATCTTTATTTCCCATTCATTTCCAGTGTTTGTGCTCTGTGTCCCTGCGAAGGTGTGTTTTGGGAGCAGAGAAGATTATATTTAGGAGAGGTCAAATATGATAGAATCCAAAATTAGTAGCAGAAAATAATAATATTCTGTGTGTGTAGATCTCCCGTGTTATGTAGATTATAGTAATAATAATAATATTCTGTGTGTGTAGATCTCCCAGGTTATGTAGATTATAGTAATAATAATAATATTCTGTGTGTAGATCTTCCGTGTTATGTAGATTATAGTAATAATAATAATATTCTGTGTGTGTAGAGCCTCCATGTTATGCAGATTATAGTCATGATTATAATATTCTTTGTGTGTAGAGCTTCCTTGTTATGCAGATCATAGTAATAATAATAATATTCTTTGTGTGTAAATATTACATGTTATGTAGATTATAGTAATAATAATAATATTCTGTGTCTGTAGAGCCTCCGTGTTATGAAGATTATAGTAATGATTATAATATTCTTTGTGTGTAGAGCTTCCTTGTTATGCAGATCATAGTAATAATAATAATAATATTCTGTGTGTAGATCTTCCGTGTTATGCAGATTATAGTAATAATAATAATATTCTGTGTGTAGATCTTCTGTGTTATGCAGATTATAGTAATAATAAGTTTTATTTATATTGTGCATTTCTCAAACTCAAGGACCTTCACAATACAAGAAATCCAACACACACACACACCCTATTAAACATGCAATAACAATGTACAAAAACAGGCAAAGCAGACAAACGAGACCTTACAAACTGCATCAAACACTGAACATTCCTGGAAAATTTGTGTTTTCTTTATGGTGAGCCACTCCATGGATTGTCCCTCTTTCTTTCACCATGCCCTGCTGTAACGCTCTATATAATGTAAATCCATGTAGAGTTTCAATTAATATTTGACTCTATAACTGCGATAGTGACTTTAATTCTGCATTATTTAAGAGTGTCACTATTATGGTGGTAAAATACATATTCTTGATTGCTGTGGAGCCTTCAAAGTTTAACGTGTCATTTATTATTGGCATATAATACTGCTAAGAGAAGCTTGCTTTCTATTACATCTTTCAGCCATTTTTCACGGAAGCGTGTTTTTCCAGGTCTGAAACACAGAATGAGGGGACAATGATCACGTGTTTTTCCTTAAGAGGATCATTCACACAGTATGTGAATTATGATTGTAAACAACGTTTAATCTTCACCTGTGTCTAAGACGGTTGGATTCCACATGATAGTACACCTCCACAGGAAGATTCTGTAAAAGAAACAAAGCCATAAGAACCATATTTTACTGGTTATCTGTTTTCTATTTACAATTCTTTAAAGTCATTGCCTTCTTGTAATATCAGACATCACTGACAAATGTAAGGTTGCTTCACCTTTAGTTACAGAACCACCAGTTTAAAAACAATATTATTTTTACTTTATATTTATATAAAATGTATATTAAATGGGGTTGAGTATTTTATAGCTGCATTACAGTTTGCAGTATGAAGTACCAATGATGTTCATTTAGTTGGAAGCTAGGGGAAAAAAGTGAAAAAATTATCCACCCAAAATAGACTCATACTTGTCAAAACAAATATCCACAGAACAGAGCATATTAGAGGAAGAAGACCACCTGCGGTTTCACTTTGGAGATCTCGATGACAAAGTAAACATACGCAGTAGCTTTGGGGATTGGCGTACACCAAGTAGGGATGCTCCAGCAGATTTGATAGTGATACTCTTTGTGAAATTCAATATCCTTCAGCTCCTGAAACTCTATACTGAACAACCAACTGGGATGCAGTTCCCATGTCTGAAAAAAACACCATAAAATAAACTGGGGATGATTAACATCAACTGGAAACATGGTTCTACTTCCAAAATCTAGTTCCAGTGAAAGCAAGGCATGGTGATGATTAAGAAATTAAACTTAATAGCTACATTCTACTGGTGCATTTGAAGTATAACATCAATTTTTATGAACAGGGAAATATTGATGTAATCCATGTGAACTAAAATCACATACTAAAATATCATTCAATATATTTGCATAAGGTAAATCCGTGCCTGGTACTAAGTAGCAGTAATATACACTCAGTGGTCACTCTATTAAGTAGGTAGGACTCCATGTTGTCACCAGAACCAATTAAAATTCAAGGCTTTAGACCACCATTGCAGTGAGCTGTCATTTTTGTGCTCCTGCCCTTCCTGTTATCATTACTGAGCCTGGTCAATCTCCTCCCAACTCATGAACAATCTGTTTCCTGCAACTGAACTGCCACCAACTGGATGCGTTTATCTCACCATTCTCTGTAAACTCCAGACACTGCAGTAGGCAAAAAATCTCAGGCAGGTGGCTATTTCTGAGATAAAGAACCACCACATTCAGCTCTAACAATCATCTGAACATCGTCAAATCATCAACGTCACTTACACCGATGTACTCTTTTATCTGCTCTTTGCCAATCTCGATTGTGAAGTCCTCACAAGTGGTCCAGTTGATATTCTTAAGTTCATAAATGGACCCTTTGTGAAAAGCAGACTGTCAGTATGTTTACGGACGTCAGCAGACCAGATCATACATGCATACGCAGGCAGCCTACGTACCTTTTCCTGCTTGTTCCGACTCGGTTAATAAACTCGCGTTATCAATAATGCATCTCACGTTTTCAGAAGCGTCGACATGTTTTAAGGAATTGTTTTCCATTTCTTCTAAATTTAAGCTGCGGTTTTAACGGGAAATACGTGCTTAACCCAGATCTTTTTTTTGGTAGTTATTCAAAGGAAATATCAATGCGGTAGAACGTCTCCAATGTAATAATGCGATATGAAGAAAGATTTTAAAAGAGTTTCAAATTTATTTTAAAAAGAAATTTTATGGTGCCCTTAGTTTGCTAACTGATCTTGTTTGGTGATTTGTGTACAGCGGTTTCCTAGGCGACCATTCTGCATGGTCGGCTGGGGAGGTCAGTGCCGGTAAATGCACGCGACCCAGGACGCCATCCCGCTGTGACCAGCACGCTGCTACCCTGGGAATACCTGAATTTGTATTTAGGAGCAAGAATACACCTGTCCAGCATGTTACGCATCCGGAAGTGTATATTTTGTAGTCGGAAAGTAAACATTGAATCTGTTATATTACTAAGAAGCTGCTTAAAATTAATCTTTTTATTAATCTGATATCATGAATTCAGTTGTAACTAGTTATCATTAAAATTGAACTATATAACTGCTTATATATCAGAAACTGGATTTTCAACCATTTACAATTTTATTTCTCGATATCAACAATGAGCACTATGACTAGTTAAAACATGCCAGTTTCTGCCAGATGATATGCTTTTTATTTAACTCAAGTCGAAATTGTGATACACATTATACAATACACATTATAACTAAGCATCTCTACCCCAAATAAATTCAAACTGAGTATATCCCAGTTTTAACATTTGATTTGTTATCTTTCTTCTATTTTCAATTAAAACATATGGTTTTATTAACATTTTCACACAACAGGCATTATGAAGGTGCAGATAATGTTACGCTTTACCCGATGTTTCTTATCGTTTGATTAATAACTTGACAAAAAAATTTAATTTGTCAGAATGCTTCATTGACTGTTTTATAACAAAGTTCTGGCTACCAAAAACAGGAAGTTACAAAAACGTGTTAAGAAGAAGCTACTTATGGGATTTTTTTTTAGAACTTAATTCTCCCCATAGTCTAAAGATTTGCTTCTTGCTGTGTTTCAGATCGTTGCTGTTTATCACTAATAATGTTGCAGGAGGTCACTAGGAAGTGAAAATACCGAAATGCAGTATTTTGGAGCTAAGCTGAAGTCAGCGGGCATTGTAGATAATGTAGAACATCACAGACACCTATAGCTCTGCAGAACATTACAATTAATCATTTCAGTTTTTTAAATATAGTCCTATAGTTGAGCTATAGAGTTATTGTAGGAGCAGAATCGTGATGCTGAAGAAGATTTTGTAACCAAAATAAGTGGTATATACTAAAAATCAAATGCAAATGGTCAAGTTCAGCAAATATATGGTGTGACACGACACCCCCTCCCCCCCCTCCGTGGTTTACTCACTGCTGGCCTCAGCAAGGAGACATGGCTGGTGAGGGATTAGCACCACGGATGGGGGGGGGAGGGGGTTCAGCCTCCCTGGTCAGATTACAGCCTAAGGGGACGCAGCGGGTGGGGAATTAGGACCCTGGTAAGGAGGTGGGACAGCCTCCCTGTTTTGGGTTTGGGAGGGTCAGCAAGCATATACATATGTGATGGGGAGGCGGGACTTAGGAACATGATTAGGAACATGATTCGATTGGTTTGTGTTGGGGGCCCGATATGATATGATGGGCTTTCATTGGGCCCAAAATGTGTGGCGGCGCCCCTGGATGTGTAGATAGGTCTCCACACTACTAGTTACTGGCCAGCTAGTGTATAAAGTATTCCTAGTATGTGTTAGACACTGACTGGATAACTATACAATGCGTCATTGTATATAATGACGTAAATTACAATGCTATACTATTACAGTTATTTTCTCATTCACTGAGCAGAGGCTGACTGCACGAAACAATTGGTGACCAAATACTTATTTAATTATTGAATAAAAGTAATGATTGTTCATTTAAATTTAACTTTTCAGATTTGAACCAAAGGTGCAGATGCATTGATTTACTGTTGGTAACAAATTCCACACAAACAGAAGAACTAAAATAACACTAATGGTTACAAAATAACAAAATGATTTGTCCTTATTGACTAGGATTTTCTAAATCATGGATGGATGGCTCACTCTTTTCTATTGATCTATGAGCTATATAATTTTTTGAACAATGAAAAATACTTAAACATTTGAAATTCCATTATTGTAATTATCGCTTTGCTGATAAGAGGTAAAATTAACATAATAATAGAATTTAAAACTATTTATGCTGATACTTCTCTGGTTAAAGTGTGTAAATGAACACTATTCACAGCTGGAAATAAAAATTCTCTGACCTCCTCAGTGGAAAGTGCATCATCACTAACGCCACTGAGACAATTTTCTCATTATTCATGAAATGCTTGGGTAATGGCAAGGTGATCATTACTGTCAAATTAAACAGCGAGCGGTCCGAGTGCACGAGCACGGCCCAAAAGGGGGTGGGATCTTTGGCAGTGACAGAGGAAAATGGAGGGGTTATTTGGGAAGAGAAGATAATGAGTTTTTTGTGCCTCAGTGACTCAGCAAAAGCTGTAACGGAAAACCAGCTGCCTGGCTGGCAGTATATGTCACCTGGCCCACCTGCGCCGACACTAGAGCGTGATCCGCTGGGCTTACGGGGCTGTGTGCGTGCAAACTGCTACAGACACCCCTGCGGAAACAGCCATGCCAGGAGAAGTACTGCTCGCTGCCTTCCTCCTCCAGCTTCCTCCGCTCGCTTCGAGCTACCCCACGGGGGCTCCGGCCTCTGCCTGTGCGGACATGACTCCTCACCACGGTGGGGCACAAGCTCAGGCCACCCCGGCCCCCTACACCATATACATCAGCAACCACACCTTTCGCGTCGACGAGCCGATCACAGGTAGGAAACGCCACCCTTGCCAGCCGCCCCAAAAATCAGCCAACTTCATCCAAAATACCGTTTGGATTGCAGGTGCGACTGGGTCTTTTAGGTTCCGTGGGACACGTCTAGAGTAATATACCCAATACCTGTAAAATTGCTGCTGTTTTTTGGGGTTGCAAGATTTCAGGTTTACTGATATTGTGCACTAGACTGAGAAACGGCAAAGAGAAAAAAAGGCAACAAGTTATGTTAGGAATTTCCAGTGGAGTACCAATTCAAAGGCATTCAACACCTATTGAATACTCAATGGCGCACCGGTTCAAAGGGATTCAGCAACTTTTGAATACCCAAAAGACCTATACAATAAATATAATGAGTGAAAAGTGAGTACTGCTTTTTAGGAGTCTTTACTTGACCTTTTTGCTTAAGCTCGTGCAGGCGTTCCTCAGGGACAGAGAACATGAGGGTTTCCAAAGAAGGACACACCTTCCTGCCACTGGATTCTGTTTCTGAATCTTTTGTCAGAGAGGATGTGTGTAAATACGCTAGGGCTGTATTTAGCCTGTTGGTCACAGAACATCCTTAATCTGAAGTTTCTGAATGAGGAATCGGTCTCCTCAAATGATCGCAGTTCATTGCTTACTTCGTTCAACAAAAATTAATCACAAAGAATGTTGCAATATCATCCAAAAAAGGGCTCAGCTCCGACATAAAAGCCTTTCACTTCACTGTATCCACTATATCCACCATGGAATAAAACTCAATAATGGAATAAAACTCACTCAATTTATGATAATGATCTCAAAACAAAGGGTGAATGTTTAGGAGCAAAAAAAAAATCTAAATGAAAATTTAATGTAACACATCAAGCCAATTTCGATTATCAGGAGCTGTGGAAAGGTGTTGGCCTGCCAGCGAGAGTCAGTGACTCCCAGTCACACCAGTGTGTCTGGCACCGTCAAACACAGTTGGTTTGGTCCCTGTTGGTGCCGTTTTGGCCTATCAAGCATACTAATACTGAATCAGTGTCAAAACTGAGCTCTCTGATTAGGACGTTAGTTGGCCATCACCTCTAATCATGCCGATGTGTTCCAGCGCAAGTATTCACGATCGAAGGGAGGGGAGGCGAGCTGATTGTTTGCCGGCTTTCGCTAGATTATTACCGTCAGCTTGGGGGGGGGGGTACCCAGTTTAAAATGTGTTTGCCAAATGGCTCTAGAAGCAGAAACTGGACAACCCTTGAAAGTTCACTTAATATCTGGAAAGATCTTCATTTTAAGGTATTAGACCTGAGTAAAATAAAGCAAATATTGTATATGACAATATTTTCATCCTTTAAGCCATCTGACATTTTTTAAAACAAAATTAAAGACGTAACAATGTCCCTCCCCCATCACCTTCTCTTTGAAGCACAAACTAAATGTTTTAATTTAGCTGTGAATTCTGGGAATGTGCAATGACACGACTGAAGCTCTCGTGTAGTTTACAACCAGGTAGGAATGTTACAGGCCTCTAATAAAATCTTTGCTCATACTGTCGTTCCATTTGGGTGTCACGATACTGCATGCATTAACGCCAACCGAGAAATATTGGTGCACTATGACTTTAAAAGTAACGCCAACATGTTATCTTTGATAGCCCTAATCATATTAAATAGTGTTAAATGATATTGTATTTCACATATGTATTGTACGCATAATTTGATGGATTAGAATCCCATCCAGGGTGTACACTGTGCCCTGACCTTCCTACAATAGGTTTGCTACCATTGGATGGGAGGTATGGAAAATGGATGGATGGATGGATGGATGCACAACATTAAAATTTTAAAGCTATCAGTATACAAAGAATGACATATAACTGGGAAATGGTGGCTTTCCTGATGTGGGTGTGGCTCCTGCCGATCTCTCAGAAAATGCTTTTCCCTTGATTCCATTTCAGTGACCATCAAGGGACCCAACTACACAGGGCTGCTGCTACGGGCTCAGAGTAGCAGCCGTGCCGACGCTTTGGGGGTCTGGCAGCCGCCCCCAGCTAATACTAAATATCTACACGCAAGTAGACCTTTGCCAAATAATCGGTTTAGGCCGAACATGCTCCGATACTCTAATACCGGCAGTTTATTCCTAATTTAATCACGGCACCAATTTTACGTGTTTTGCAGTGTTCCGGTAACGCGCACGGAGCCATCACCCACTCCAACATCGAAGTCAAAGACAACAACACTGTGTACACCTGGATACCTCCCAGAGGAATGGACCACATCCACTTTATGTAAGAAGATAGACAGTCAGGATTGATCCAAAAATGTTTATATCCTTGCAAAAACTTGGGTTCGGAAAATTTGGTGGATGTGCTCTAAGGGCACAACGGGGTGGATTTTATTTCAGCCAGAACTAACTGCCTCTGTGTCTTTGTGTTTCAGAGCCACAGTGGCTCAGGAAAAGACAGTTTTCTGGGTGAACATAAAGTCAGAATCACTGACCAGAGGTGAGTTGAAGTAAAAAAAAAAATTAATAATAAAAAATACACACAAGTCAGGAGTAGCACTGTGCCTGGATCGCAGGTTTCATTCCTGTGTGTGTGTGTGTGTGTGTGTGTGTGGGCCTCACAGTGGACTAGAACCACACCCCGATTGTACCCTAATTCACACCCAGTGATTTCTAAAATAATCTGCTGACTCACTGCATCTCTGTATGTGATTATGAAATGGTGGATGTGTAAATCGATATCCAGATCTAGCAAAATAAGGAAAAGGAAAGGCTTCATTTATTTGAGACTGATGCTAAATGTTTCTTATGTGAATATTTAATTGTGTAAAAATATATTGTGTTCAAAGCAATTAACAGAGTGGTGAAGTAATATTATGAAAACAGTAGTGGCTGAAGTTGTTCAAGGCTAAATGTTTCTTTCATGTGTAACAGAAGACACGGGCCTGCCTGACGGAGGCCCCCCGCTGCAGCACCAGGGAATCCTACTGATCCTCCTGCCCGTACTCCTGTTAACACTGCTGAGAACCAGCTAGCTGCCCAAGCTCAGCGACACCAAGGCTGGGCCTCAGCACTCTGAGCGAAAAGGAACTTTCTTTCTGCAATTCTGTGGACACACTGTAGGACAACAAAGCAGCCATTGTTACGTAGAAGCATTATGCTTTGTTGAAATTATTCATCTTTCAGCATTATTTTGTGGATGTTTCTCAGCTTGTACTGTATATAAATACATTTGTTAGCTTAGCAGTTTATAACATTTGAAATGGTTAATCGCCTTATGTAATTGCTGAAATATAAATCTATATCTGGAATTAAAAAAATGTAAAATATATAAAGATTGCAAATGTTCCTTTTATTATTTTCAGATTAGGTTATTAGTCTATAGCATCGCTTAGGCTTGGAAGCTTTGCTGTTAAAGGGTCTCACATCTTTTGTGTACGGATGAAAAGAGAGAATCTACCAGAAAAAAAATTGAGAAGATAAGAAAATAGCACATTTTACAATATTTCAAGAGTGATTTTTTCCAAAGTAGAGAAACAATATGGGTTTGAATGACAATAAAATTTTAATGACAAGTTATTTCAAAGTTACTTGTCTCCTAATTTACCCCCCTAATTGTCCCCCCTCCACCTCTTCTATGCCCAAACAGCAGAAAGGGGCTGTTCCCAGGTGACGGTCTGTCCAGAACCTCCTTCCTTTGCAGGTAGAATGCAGCAGCTCTTTCATCCTCTGCTATCTATCTGCAGAAACACACAAACACAACTAGCTTACCTTATTGTTCTTTCCTGCTTCTTCCTGGCATGAATTTTTGTACCAAGTACCAAGGGAAACCAGTTACCTGAGCTGTATTCAAGCTTCAAGCATTTCCTTCCAAAAAATCAGAAGCAGGATCAGCTACATCACACAAGGGATCCTCCTGAAAATCATCAATAAGATCAAGTACAAGTCTGCAGTACTTCTTACATGTATTGCATTTCAGAGTTTTATTAAATCAGTACATGGTTCAACTGCTTCATTTAAGCAATTCTCTCTTGCAATTCTATCGAATAATAGTTTTTCAAACGACCCTGAAAATGTGTCACTTTGAAGTAGGTTGGAATTGTGGTGCTCTGTTGCTGGTGGAAACACTGCTATTATGCTGTTGAGAGCGTCTCTCTTAGGCCCGTAATACAGGATAAGGCTTCTCTATAGCAAAAGCATCCAGGCCCTGATATAATATAAACATCGGAGGTTACATCGAGTGGAGGTAAACAACATTTTCTTTAGATGGACATTTCTTATATTTTGGAAAAAATACGGTTGAAGTACGATACTAGACTAGAGATTTTTAATTTCTTTCGTTGTATGCTTACATTATATGTACATTGTATGTATTTCACGTAGTCATCAATATTTACAATCATTATGAAGAGTAACAATTCAGTTCTATGTAACCTAAATGTATACCATTGTGAAAAGCTTATTTCTTTATATTTGTCTTTAAAATTACATTGATCTCAAGTGTAAGAAAAACACATTTTTAACACGAGTTCACATAAATCACAACATTTAATTTACTCCCCTCATTGTAACAGCTGTGAGCACACACACACACACACACACACACACACACACACAAACTCACCCCAAGCTTGCTCTCACCTGTGTCTCATGGATAGCAAGATGGTATACTGTAAGTGAAAGGAGAATTTCCCCCCAAGGATTAACCAGGACTACTACTATCCAAGGATACTGAGCTGTGAACATTAATGACTTACATGTAGTTAATAATTTTGAAAATACCAGCCTTGTATCTCAAACAATTATATATATTTGTGAGTGTTCAGGTGTGGGAGCGGTCATGTCTCATCAGTAACACCAGAACACCATCACGCATGTCATTCTGTCAGCTTGACATTTGCATCAGGAAGCAACACGAGACGTCTTGTAATTGTTTCTGTGTATGAACTGTTACAAATGTCAGCCTGCTGAGTTAAGCTTTCCAGAACATCAGTCTTTTATCTTACCAAAAGAAAGTGAGTTAAACTAGTAAGCTAATTTAAGTCCAGTCAAATGACTTTCCTCATCTCTGGCGTTCTTGCCTAATTATGAATTTTCATAATATTATTTTATTATTTATTATTTTCACAGAGAAAAACCTGCAACAAAAACCTGGTATAAGAAGACCCAAATAAATGCCACGCTGCAGTTGTCTCTGCCTAGAGAGAGACAGCAACCCATCACAGGACACACACGCTCAGCAGCTCCACCTAAGCATGTCTGTGGACTGTGGGGGGGGGGGCTAAAGATCCTACAAGGAAGCCCATGACAACACGGCAAAAACACGCAAGCTCCACACACAGACAACCAGGGCAACACGGCAAAAACATGCAAGCTCCACACACAAACGACCAGGGCAACACGGCAAAAACACGCAAGCTCCACACACAGACGACCAGGGCAGAGACCCAAAGCCAGCCTCCAGGCATGTGAGGTCACTGTGCCACCAGAACAGCCCTGAGAGCCAGCAGTCATGCAACAACAACCACCGCTGTCTGGTATGTCACCAACAGCCAACTCATCACACTAGTGCATTACAATGATATAAAGCAGATTATGTATCAGTGCATTACATGCAATTTTAAATCAGACTCGTGTTTATGCTCATAGATCCACAAAACACCCCTAACCACCAACCTGGCTACTTGCATGTAGTTTTCTAGGTTGCCTTTATACAGTGTTAACCATTTTTTAGTATTTTTTATATTGTATTATCCAGTCTCTATTCAACTTCCCGTAGTGTAATATTACCACATTGCTGAAATATTTTCTTCATCCACTTGCAGCAAAGCCCTTGTTCTTGCGCCTCTGGATTTAGGGAATGGTCTGCATGGGTGGTCTCATGATCGTGTGGAGTGGTAGTGGGCATTGGTGGGTTAATGGTTAGGGAAGCACACTTGTAATTGAAAGATTGCTGGTTTGAATCTCTGACCAGCAAGGCACCACTGAGGTACTCTGAGCAAGGCACTGCTCCCTGGGTGTGAATTAGCTGCCCCCTGCTGTCACAATGTCACATGTGGGTTAAATGCAGAAGACACATTGTGCTGTGTGTCAACAATGACCACTGATCTTCTATTTCTCAGCAGAGTCGTTTTCTGCGTTTGGTCTTTCAGTGCCTTATTATTTCGTTAGAACTAACGTTTTCCAAACACAATACTGCCAGCTATGAAGTACTGCCTGACCACTGCTCTTCTACCTATATATTATATCGTCATTAGCATACGGGAAAAATCACATAATGGATTTAAACCCAGCCAGAAACGAGCAGTATACAAAACGATGATCAGTATACACTATAAAAACATGTCTCCTGTAATGTCTGCCCCTTTCTCAAGGCCATAGTTCATGGGTTCACAGCCTCACCTAGACGTCATTTATTTATCACCTGTATCAAGTACGGCTCGAGGGACTGGGTGACCAACCGTAATTATCAGTTCACATGTAGCCTATTACTGTAGTGATTATTTAATTCATATATGTTAATTTAGTCGATGTACTTTTCTTTGTACAATATATATTTACTTTCTTAGAACTAGCACTTGGGTAGTCCATTTAAAAATATATATTTTAAAATAAAGAAATGTACTAGGTTACGCGATAATAGACAACCGCAAGTTCCGCCCATTTCTCTCATCCTAAGTTGCGCGTGGCATAAGTCCAATATTTGAGGAATCAGACTGAACCATTTGTGAAAACGAGGGGGGGCTTCCAAAGACATTCAGTTGAGGTTATTTGCAATATTATCCTAATGAATGTGCTAAAAGAACAAGATATGACAGGCGAGATTAAAGTGATTAAATGAAAACGGTGGAATTATATTCGTCACTGGTGGATTTTTCTCTCCTGGGAATGGTACGCTCCTCCCTGCAGGAATATCACCCTTCTGTCGGCTGCCCTTGGCTTCCTGTTTAGGCTGCTATCGCGAAGCTGACCATGGCGGCCACTGAAATAGCTCGGCAAGCGGTGAGTCCCTCACAGGATGCTCTCTTAATGTCAGCCTTTTCTAAGAAATTGACATAGTCTGCATTAACACAAGACCTATGACAACGTGCAGCTTTTCCGTGTATGTACCCGTCAAATACGTTATTTTTCCCACGGCTTTATGCTTCAATGGCTCTTTCATTGTAAAATTATTTTACGATCTTGTTAGATAATCAATGGGTACATTTTTCCAAACGGCAGATCCATGTGAAAATTTCCAGAATCTGGCGATATTTTAATCATATGCTCTGATCTCCAGCTATGCTTGCTGTATATTTTATGTCCGATTAGTGAGGATAAGTCAGTATAACAATAGCTTCACGGAGTATGTTATGATTTCGATACAGTGGCTTTTCTGAAAGGCCTGTGTCTTCGCATGCACTAATCGGACAATAATAATGCATTTCGCGTTAATCGCAGAGCTGAAGCGTTTCGGTTCCTCGGATCCGCGGCTGCGCTTCTTTCCCCAGCTGCGATTCCGCTTCAGGCGGTTACATTGTTTCCCATCTCGGCTCCGTTATCCTGCTGGGCGTTGTCTGTCTAACCACCGACTGATGAACTTCATTGAAAAAATAGGATCCTGCATATTTCCCCTCCACCCAAAAAAAGGGGAAAAAAGCGGCTGCGCTGCACAGGCACTTTGAAGCCGCTGAAGCTGCCCGTGAGCTGGATGCAGGGACCGATCATGCGAAACGCCATAAGCAGCATGCGTATGAATCTCTGATGGAGGCGTAGTATTTACAGTAAAATATCTGCTAAGGTCGTTTCCTATAAATTAGACTTGCACTTTTGCGATGCTCCTGAAAATGCAACTGGAGGAAAGGGGAATGAAACATTTGCCATCCCCGTGATTCTGTGGGGGAGATGACCGTGTGATCCCAGCGTTGCGTTTGCTCATACGGTCCCACACAAACTGGCAGCTGAAAGATTCCAGTAAGCAACATATTCCCTGGTATATTACAGACGGCTTCTCTCCTACGCCTCTGACCTCTTATCAGCTTTATTTTAGAATAGATTATTGACACTTAGTTAAAATTGAAGTCTTTCAGAAAAGGCGTACTCTTGTACTTGTTTTAATAGAACTAAATTTCAACAAGGCCCATAGTAATTGGGTGGTCAGCGTGTTTGTCTAACCTCGTTGTGGGATTTAGGATTCTTTTCAAGTGCACTGCAAATGAATGATTTTAAAATATTTGAATTTTTCCCACTTAGGGTGTCACGTTTCCCCTATATTTGCATGTGTGCTGTGTGGGATACAGATGCCACCTGCAAGCATAACTGGCGCAGTTTAGGTTGGGGAGGCGTGTCTTATTGTGATGGCTGGCTTTCCGAGAGGCATTCATGTCGGCGGAGTGGATTCGATGAAGGTGCTCTTTATGGCGTAGCACCTTATTTTCATTCCCTCGGTCTCAAGCTGTCAGGAACACGTAAGCTTTGGAACAGGTCTTCAAGGTGCTTGCCGATTTCTGTGTGTGCGCAGTTGGGCAGCAATGTCAACAATGGAGTATCAGTGCAGCTGGTCTACTGTCAACAGTGTGGAGCACATGGTTCTGCAGTGTGGTCAGAAGTTTGCTTACAGTGTGTTTTATATTTTTTAATTTATAAGTGTCATTATCTGTGTAGAAAAATGATAAATTAATAAATTTGATGCATGATGTTGATCTCTCAGCAGGCTGTATGTCAAGTCATCCAGAGCTGAAGAACACTTTAGAAATATGTTGTCGATGTGTTTAGCAAATCTCGCTGCTGATCCGTACGAACAGCTGACTGCAAGCTTCGCGATTTTGTCCAGGGAGCTATTGGCAGCGTGATGCTCTGATTGTCAGTGAGACTAAGTGGGCCACATCTCTAGGATCCGAAAATGCAGGACCATCAGTCCCTCCCCTCTGGCAATGAGCAAAGTGCTCTGTTTATTGAAGGTTCCTACCCGACTGAAACATGCGGTTCACAGCAGACAGTGACCCCCAGGGCTTCTCGTTTTAACAGGGTGAAGGTGTGCGATCCGTCCCGCTCTCTGGCCATGTGGGCTTCGATAGCATGCCAGACCAGCTGGTCAACAAGTCAGTCAGCCAGGGATTCTGCTTCAACATCCTCTGCGTTGGTGAGTGACTCGTGCGGCTTCTGTGAAGTGCACTCTCCCATCTCACTCCCTTTCCCACTCATTTACTGTTTTAATTCTGCCCTAATTTCACTTCCACCCGAACGGACAGCTACTGTAGGTCCTAAAAAATCAGTTACTGTAATAATAGTCTTAGTCTGTTAGTCTTAGTCTAGTAATTTGTGTTAAATATGATGTGTAAAAATAATCCAGGTTCATATTACACATCTATAGATCTATAGCACAGACCATGGCATACAATGGAAATCACATAAATAGTACAGAATCACATAACTGTTGATCAAATGTAGAACTGATGTTTCTTTAACTGTATATAAGGGTTACATACAGGTATCTAAATGTTATTGGTGGTAACACTGGTGGTTTTTAAACCTAAGCAGATGAACAGGTTTATTTTTGTTGTTTTGCCAAAACCATGATTATTTACAGGTAATAATATGTATTTTCATAAGGACATTCTGGAGTTCTTCACTTAATCATGCATCGATTTAAGGGTAAACAAATCTCCCCGTAGCTTTGTTTTAAGGGAGAACCAGCAGGATGATGAAGCCCACGAGTTCGTCCCCTTGAGGCGAAGGTTCAGCACCTAGAGCGGCTGCTATTGGCGGCTGAGCCTGTGGGCTCTTCCACTGAAGGGCTGCTGTGCTGGTGCTGCTCGAGCCCGGAGGGAAGAGGGGAGGGGCTGCTTTGGGGACAGCAAACCTCTACAAAAGGCTGGCTACTAGGGGGGGGCTGCAATTTAAAAGCTGGTAACGCCAGTGCCGCACTGGAAAGCTCGGAACCAGAGGCTCAACGTTCCTGAAAAAGGAATGAGACTGATCAGGTTGGTGCCCTGGATTGCAGGGACTGACCTGCCTCAGGTCAAAGGGAAACGTGATTGATGGCCAGTTTGTCTCTGTTCATCTCGGAGCATAAAAAGAGAAACTTGCAAGTTTATACTCCTCTTAATAGATTTTTGCCAGCTCAGAATGTTTATCGAATACAAAAAGCTAAAGCAAGTGTGTGTGTTTACCATGTTGGGGAGAGCAAATGTTCCCACAATGTGGTAAAACCTGTTATTTCCTTGTGGAGACATTTTTAGGTCCCCACTGTATAATACAGGGGGCAGTGAGTGGCTCAGTGGGCTAAGTCTCTGCACCCATGATCAGAAGGTCGTGAGTTAAAGCCTCAGCAGAACAGCCACATGTCCAGGGGACAGCGAGTGAGGCCCTTGGGGCCCTTGAGCGAGGCCCTTGGCCCCCAGCTCCAGGAGCTGCATGTTGGCTGACCCTGCACTGTGACCCCTAAGCCGTGGGGAGGTGAATTCCAGTTTACCTATACTTATTCTTGTGCACATGGCAAATAAAGGATTTATATTATATTGACTTCAATTTTATAAGAATCTGTCACTGCTATCAAAAAACTAAAGATGCCAAAAGTCTTGTATTTTGTCTGGTTACTTGTGGTTAAGGTCATCGTTGCTGGGATTAGGGTTTTGGCCATAGAAATGAATGAATGGTCCCCACAAATGTGTGCGTGTGCATGAGGAGCGTGAGAGAGAGGTTTATGAAATAATGTGATTGGTCTTGTGGTTGTAACTTATTATCATCTTGATTTTAATATTACATAGAAATAGACTCTTATCTCTGATCCAGTCTTCTGTGAAGCTGTCAGTTAACTGTAAAGTTCTTGGGGGAAAAAAACCAATGGGAACCAGACATGGGATATCGAAACGTCTCCTTTGGTGTGATTTTTCAGGCTGCCAGTTTTGTTATAAAAGGACTCATCGCAGCGTGCATACATGCGCACACACTATAATACACTGTGGACCATTTAGAGATACCAGTTTGACCACTGGCATGCCTTTGGACTGTGGGAGGAATTCCTGCAGAAGACCGTGCCCAACGTGAGTGGTGGAGGAGTGCGTCCAACGCGGGTGGCGTGCCCGACCTGGGGGGGCAGACAGCTTGTAGGATTCAGGCCCCGCCCACTGCCACACGAACATTATCTAAGGCGAATACAGCATGGCAGCCCGCGTGGCGCATTTCCTCCATGGGGTCTGACCGCCCTCACTGTCCTGTTTTTGCGGGAACCAGATCTGTTCCAGTTCCAGGACACCGTTTCAGAGAAGAACTGGGACTCTGCCAAGTCCTGCTTTCGGTTCCTGCCCAGTTCGGGGGGGGGGGGGCTGTTGGACTCATCTGACTGCCCCCGCAGAGCTTTTGCGGTATAAATTTGAAGTTATCGGGCTTGGAAAGGGAAGGGTGACCGCAGTCCTCCCAGAACCGCATGATGCTCACTTGTTACTTTAACATGTTTACTGTTAAATGCGGCATGTAGATGTCGAACGGGGTTCTGGTAACCATGGAAATAAGCTGTGCTCCTCGTGGCGCTTGACATCACTCTCAGGGCTGCCATCAGCCTGTCTCATCATCCCGAGCCTCAGTCTCTCTGTCAGAATACTTGCTTTTCTTCAGCTGAGCAATGCTTGGTCCTTTAGATTTACTCAGGTTCTCATAAAGCAAATTTTAGCTTGAAGGTTTTATTGTATGTTAATGAAATCTTGCTGATGTGGATTTAATGTTAATTCTTGGGCCAGAAACAGCCTGGGTACATGTATGGAATAGAATGGACTCGTCAATGCACACAACAATATGTGACCCTCCCCTTAGTGGAATGCCAGGACACCCCCACTGTACTAATGAGAGTAACTCATAAATGGCAACCCAAGTGATCAGCTGGTTCTCAGTGGTATTTATTTGAAATATAAAATCACTGAGGAGCCCATGTAATGTTATGGATTGTGTTGTCATCTCCCCACCCCAGGTGAGACGGGCCTGGGAAAGTCCACCTTGATGGACACTCTGTTTAACACCAAGTTTGAGGGAGAGCCGACCACACACAACCAGCCGGGTGTGCAGCTGAAGTCCAACACCTACGAGCTGCAGGAGAGCAACGTGCGACTCAAGCTGACCATGGTCAACACCGTGGGCTTTGGGGACCAGATCAACAAGGAGGACAGGTGAGCTTGGATTACAGGCAGGGCGCGGGATGGACTACATGAGTGTAATATAACTAATCCAGGCTCTAGCTATCCGATAGTTTACAAGCAGGCCGCGGGATGGACTACATGAGTGTAATATAACTAATCCAGGCTCTAGCTATCCGATAGTTTACAAGCAGGCCGCGGGATGGACTACATGAGTGTAATATAACTAATCCAGGCTCTAGCTATCCGATAGTTTACAAGCAGGCCGCGGGATGGACTACATGAGTGTAATATAACTAATCCAGGCTCTAGCTATCCGATAGTTTACAAGCAGGCCGCGGGATGGACTACATGAGTGTAATATAACTAATCCAGGCTCTGTAGCTGTCTGTTACCTTACAGATTCTTTTCTGCAGACTCTTGCCATCATGGTTGTCTCACTTAATGATCGAAGTTTGTCATAAGTACTATACAATCATGTTTAACAAAGCTCAGCTCCTCCCACCAGTCGGAGATCAGGTATTCAGATCGGCTCTCCTTGTCAGTTTAGGCCACAGCTGCTGATGCTTATCTGGAATGATGGTCCCTATTTAAAGGTGCATTTATGGTCTTATTGACCTGATGAAGCAGCTAAACTGGGAGCAGAGGTTCGCACTTATGGTCCCTACAAACAGCTATTATGCCAGTGAAACATTATTTGTTGACTGATTTTGGTTTTTAAAACAGCTGGTTAATTTTAGGGGAATGTGTTCTATGTGGTCTAGCTGGTTCAGTGTGCCAATGAATTCATGTGTGATGAATGAATGTGGCTTTTAACTTGGTGTTTTGGCGATAAAATACCATAGTTTTGAAATCTGAAGTACGTAGTGAACAGTAGCATAACATGAGTCTTCAGGTTTAGTGAGGTGCACACGCGTGTGCGCGCACACTCACAAGCTACGTATTGGCTCAGTCTAAATGCATCATCACCCATTCTGACTTCACTTGCCTTCCTGATTTTAATTCTGCCCGTTTCCTGTTTTTGACAATTGGCAAAGATTAACGACGTGGTTTGGCTCTGCAGCTGTTTTGTGGACAGCTGACGTATGTTACAGGTTTGCAGAAGGTTTAAAAGTGAGCTGCCGTGGTTGTGGTAATCCTTGGCCACAGTCGGTCTCTCAGGGTTTTCTCATGCAGGACCAAAGCGAGATGCTGTCTCTCTTGTGTGGAGACTGGGCCCACTTAGCCACATGCTGCCCCATACATACTGAGTGGTAAAATAAGATGGAACTCTCTTCTGTAGCTTCCTGGGGCTAAACAATCCCTTGGTCTTGGATGTTGCTCAGATTGCTCTACTGCATGTGTTTTAACAGACTTTATTTGCTTTTTACTTTTGCCATTAGGCCTCAATCCGTATCACTACTGCCTTCACACCTGCAAGATTTTGTACTTTGAATCCTGCTTCGCTGTGTGATGATTCTTCTCTGTTCATTTCATGCAGGATTCCGACTGAGATACAAAGACACGTAGACTATGTTCTTATAGATTTGAACAACTCTGAGCTATTAGTTAAGTTCTCCCCAGGCGAGCTCGATGGGCCGAATGGCCTCCTCTCGTTTGTATAGTTCTTTTGTTCTTACTAATCGGTCTGTCAGCTTCCCGTGGGGCGTGATCGGGAGCTTGTGTCTGTGCCCTGAAACAGTTTGGCATCCTGTCCGGCATGTACCCTATTCCACGTGTTCTGATCTCAGACCCTCCTCACGATAAGTGGCTGAAACCTGGATGGATGGGTTTTGGAGCCGGGTGGCATGTCATTGAAGTGCCACCTTTCAGAGTTGGGGGGAAATGGCTTTTGTGCTGTTGCAGAAACACCTACTTGTGTGGTCTTTGACTCCCTACTTTGAAGCTATTTGTCTCTCCTTGGCTGCACTTTGCACTGACTGTGGGGCAACTCTGTTAAAGAAAATCTCCACATTTTGTGGTAGTTGACTTTCAAATTTAATTCTAACTAGCTCTCAGGTCTGTAATTATTCAAATCGCCGCTGAGCATTTAATTAACTCATCAGATACAGCCTGGAAGATGAAAAACCAGCTGATTTCTTTGAACATGAGGGTTAAATTAGCTTCCAGGAAGCATTTTGCTAACTTGTGGATTTTCCCTCCATTTGTGAGCATTGCATTGTGGTCCAGCCTGTGATTTAAGCACCTCCTTCCCCATTTCCCATCTTTCTCTGGCAGTTACAAATCCATCGTGGAGTTCATCGATACTCAGTTTGAGGCGTACCTGCAGGAGGAGCTGAAGATCCGTCGCACGCTGCATAGCTACCACGATTCGCGCATCCATGCCTGCCTGTACTTCATCGCCCCCACTGGCCACTCGCTCAAGTCCCTGGACCTGGTCACCATGAAGAAGCTGGACAGCAAGGTGAGGTTTAGGCAGCAGTGCTGAGCAAAGACGGGAGGTAACGTGGTGATGGGGAAGTCGCAGCTAATACCTTGGTGCAGGTGACTGGTGTCCCAGGAAACGCTGCCCTCTGAAATTTCATAGCAAAACCGAAAACCTGTTTGACAGCTTTGCTATGCTTTTTCACAGTTCAACCGTGAATTTTTACAGTGAATTGGCACACTTATCTACTGTGAAATCTACAGTCGAACTGTTAACTTCACTGTCAGAATTATTAAACACCAGAAGAGGTGACGTGAACTTCAGTGTCAAACAAGAGATCACAGTTCAACTATGAAACATTGGTTGAGCTGTAAACTTCGTAGTAGAACTATGAATAATTAAGGTTTAAATGCAAGCTTCAGTTTTACCATGAACTGTAGCAGTGCTGTTTTCCCTGGATATAGCAGAGAAGCTGTTACTGGTTTGTGTGTTGAAATTCATTTGGTTTTCATTTGCATTTCTGAACCTATTCCTGGCTGTTTGTGATAGTGGCGGTATTGTTTTAGCTGTACTGTAGAACAATCTGCAAGGGGAGATCAACTTGTTACAACAGATCAATAAGCACCCCGGGCTCCTCCAAGGACGGTGTCCTCACGGTCCGCTGTGTCCAAAGCAGGCCGCACTGTCATTGGTGTTCCTGCTGACTTTACTCTTTGTTTACTTTAACTGATAACTGCAAGGGTCTTTAGGGCAGTTTGGGGGCGTGGAGGGGGGGGGGTCTCTTTACACGTGGAAGTCAGATGTTTCGATGACGGTTGCATGCTGGTATTTGCGAAATTCTAATGCATTGTAAGCACATCTGGAGGGGGGGGGTTTCCACAAAGCAGAATTTCCCAGTTAGCTGGATAACCAAAGCCAAACATGGAAACTGTCCAATAGGAGGAGAGGTAAGCGGCATTCCTATTGGACAGTCCTTACTTCTGGCTTAAGTTATCTGGCTAAGGAAAAAAAATCCTGCTTCATGGAACACCCCCTGGCAGTGCGGTCCTTGCCCCTAGAGGTAAAATCCCAGGTGTGCAGTCCCTATCGGTGACCCTAAATCTTCAGTCCGAAGCTGACAGTGGCTTGGCGTGTTGCAGCTTCGTATGTGCCATGTTTAAGCAGCAGTAATGTTCGCTATTTGTAGCATGTGACACCCTTAGGCGCGCAGATTTATCCAGCTTGCACGCCACGTAGGGCATAGACTCATCTGGAGAATCTCTTGGAGATGGGGGGGGAACGGAGACAAAAACGAATAAAGTAGAAATTTTTTATATTGTTTCAAATTCAAAGAGCGAATTTTGTACGTTTTCTTTACAATCATGTCAGGTCTGAAAAAGAACAATTACATACAAATATTTATATTATTAAATTTATACTGTGAATTTGTTCTACAATTTCCAATTCGCTAGCGTATATATAATCATTTCCTCCTCTTTCAGTCGGTGGAGACCATGCTCCTGGTTCTCTTTAGCACTTGGGAAGGTGGTTCTCAGCTCTGCATCCTGTGAAATTCTGTCCCCTTTAGTGGCTTCTGTCACTCAGGCTTTTAGCTGCTTGCTGTCTGTTCTGGAAGGAAGAGAATGGCAGAAACAGCGGAAGTCTTTTTGGACGACGTTCGCTTGTACTCCCATCAGGACTGAGTGATTCATGTTTGTTACCATGGTTACCCATCCTGTGTGTTTCCCGTGGGCTTGTAGGTTGTCTGTGGCCAAGCAACACGCAGTTGGATATGTGGCATGTTTAGTTTCTCTCACCCTCATCTTTATTTCACAAGCTAACTGCAGTAATCTGGACAATGTCTAATTTTCATTAATGATGATCTTCATGAGCTGGAATTCATTAATATATTTAAACATTCTGTATAACGGAGCTCTGTGTGTGTGGTGTATAAATCAGATTTTACAGCTGTTCGGATCTACTTTTGATTTAAATCCCGTTTCCTGTGCTGCCATAGGTGAACATCATTCCCATCATCGCCAAGTCGGATGCCATCTCTAAAAGCGAACTCGCCAAATTTAAGATCAAGATCACAAGTGAGCTGGTCAGCAACGGAGTTCAGATCTATCAGTTCCCCACTGACGACGAGACTGTGGCTGAAATCAACTCCACCATGAATGTAAGGTATTAAGGGCAGTTTGGCCGCGCCTTACGCTGCGTGCCTCACATTGGGTTTGCTGGGATTCACAGTGTCGGGCACGGCTAGTTATGTAACCGGACTCTATGGGGAATTATCGCTTTATTTCTCTTAAAAACCACTTTTTGGAAAGCAGCAATAATTGAAGGTTTTGGCGGTGATCCTCGGGAAGCGGAAGAATGTAAAAACGTTAAACATAGAAGGGCGACTTGGCCAGGCTGCTGAGATCAAAGTTTCTTTGGCTAATCCGTTAAGTTCCTTTAGAGCTCCAGTTATTGTGAAAATCTGCGCCCTTAGATTCAGAGGTAACCTATTTTTTCTTCCTTGAAACCATCTGTGTCTAACATTCCGTCAGAATCAGGAAATGGACCCACAAAGGAAGTAAAGTCAAAAGCTTGGTCCAAGTGAGTTTTAAAGCAGGAAGCGTCACTTTGGCGGCAGCAGGGGAGGGGAGTGGGTCACTGCTGAAGGCACATTTGTACTAAAATACAAGCACAAAACTGAAGTAACGCAAATGTGTTGAGGGTCTAGCTAATTAATCTAATTAGCTTCGCACTGCTGGCACCAGGTCATTAATGCAGTAAATGTAGTCGTCTCTCCAAAGTGTCCTGTCTGGCCAACACGTTAATTATTAAAATGCAGGCTTGCAGCTTCACAGCAGTGACAGAGCCCATTTTCTCTTACCACTGCACGGTTCCTTGTTCTCCTTCAGGACCGCGGAATCTCTAGAACGCTTCTTTTTGCAGTATCCTGTTCTGTACTGCATGATTTCATTTTGTTGCGGTTGCTCAAATAACTGCTCTATTTTCTGCATCCAGTCTCTTAAGCAGACGTGGCTTCATGTGGTGAATGTCTTTCCTGTGCTGTTGTCTTGGGTCTCACACATCATGTCTTTGCAGTACCTTCTCCTACACTGGAAATGCATTGTCCACTTGTTGTATGGCGATAAAAGAATCTTCTCTAGTTTGTGCTCCGTCTGCTCAGTGCTGCTGTAGTCCCAGATAGGCTAAGGACCTTATTGGCCACAGGATGTGAAGTGTAACAGAAAGCCACTGAGAATATGGTTTGTCTCTGGTATGTTTGGGGGTCTGCATTTGTTGGCACTTCTGAATTCTGCACAAAGCCAATGCGTGCTGCTCTTCTGCTAAGGTGCCTCGGCTTGTGAATTCTGAGATGTTTAAATATAGCTTTTAATGTAACCAAAAGACCCTGGGTGATAAAGCGGACAGCCACAGCCACCGTGGATGGGTGTCTGGGCTTGGCGGCGACACTGCGGCGTGACACTGCCGTACGAACTCCAGTTCACTGCAGCAGGTTTACCACTGCGCTGCCTTCACAGGGACACTTGCCGTTCGCCGTGGTCGGAAGCACCGAGGAAGTGAAGATCGGGAACAAGATGGTGAAAGCACGCCAGTACCCCTGGGGGACCGTGCAGGGTGAGCGGCGACACGTCCCACGCAGGAAGCCCTGCTCATCTGCTCATGTGACCCTGGTCCACTTTATTCTTTGATTCTTCCTGCACTTTGGGGTGGCTAGTGCGTGAACGCATGCAGGCGTGGAGGCTGGAAGCATAGCAAGGGCACCCATAATGATCTTAGGAGGCGAGAACTTCAGCTTCGCCATAAAGACGTGGCTTCGTGCTGCGTGGTTTGCTTCATTCAGACTCTGATAGTGGAAATCGCTTATGAGCATTTTGGGAGATTCATAACCGTTTGATATTTGCCTTTTTAATCTTCTTGTATCCGCCCTACAATGGGGAGAATTTGAAGGACTTTTGTAAAAGTTCTACCTGAATGTGATTTTAGGTGGCAATAATAATGATGTTTACGGTAATTTTCATGCATACCACTTTTGGATCACAGGAGTCTGTGAATTGTCACAGCATGTAGCTGTTTTCGCACAAAGCGTAAGCGTTAAATGAAAAATTGAGCGCATATACAGTCCAGGATTATGGTGCCTGGAGCCTGTCTTGGGAAACAGGGTATGGGGGGGGGGCACCCTGGATGGGATGCCAGTTTTTTTTATTTGAAATAAGCTCTATCTCCCCCAGACTGGGCATTTAAACCTACCCGGATATGTATGTACAGATATGCTAGAACTAAACATGAGCGTCACTCACACAACTATTTTTGGAGGACTGGTGCAATATAAGTCAAGCAATGAATTAAACAGTCAGTAGACAATGATGTCGTCATTTTAAAATGATGTATCCCAAAATGGGTGTTAAATGAGCCCGTAATATTGATAATCTGGTCTCAAACCTCAATGAGGGAGTCTGTGAATGGAAGACGCTTGACACGTGGAGCCACACGAACGCGTAGAATGCATTTATCGTATGTTCCTGTGCGTCGCCACGGCTGCGGCTCGCGGTGGGGGGGGGTCGCCCCGGCAACAGCACTGAGCCCTAACGCAATGGCGGTGCCCCAGGCTGCCTCTGACATTGTCACCGCATCACCCAGTGTGCTCTCGCATGACAGTGCAGCTTTGTGGGGGTGTGCGGGGGGACAGCAGCTGGCCATTAGCAATGCGGAACATCGAGGGGGGGGGGGCTAGTACCGTTGACAAAAACTACACTTTCATAAACTGAAATAAATTAAGATGTGAAAAACTTGGAAAAACCTATTAAATAAACACTATGAACTATAAATATTGCTTTTGAAATTAATTGAAATTAAATGAAAACAAATGTCAAATACTTTCCATTACCATTTTTCATACTATTTAGTTAAAATAATGACTTGCTTATGTTTAATTACCATTAATGATACCTGGAACATGTCTTGGCCATTTTGAGGAGGTCTGTACATAGTGTTCACTGTGTCTTCATGCAGGAGACTCTGAAGATCAGATATAAAATAGCTTTACACCTTTGTCGATTCCTAGAAATAAAAATTACATTTTAGCTTGAGTTTGTTTTAGTAACATAGAAACACCTTTAAAAATTAATAAAACCACACAGAAACTAATTAAAACTAAACTGGAATTCAAATGAAAATTGAATATAAACAAAAACAATTCGGCCTATAATTGCACTGGCAATTAGCCAAAAATGGTGCTATCTGTATATTTTAGTCTGAATTTGTCACGTTAAAACGGCATTGTGATTTTCATATGGCCTGTGGTTTCCTTCGCAGTGGAGAACGAGAGCCACTGTGACTTCGTGAAGCTGCGTGAGATGCTGATCCGCGTGAACATGGAGGACCTGCGCGAGCAGACGCACACCCGCCACTACGAGCTGTACCGCCGCTGCAAGCTGGAGGAGATGGGCTTCAAGGACACGGACCCCGACAGCAAGCCCTTCAGGTGATCCTCCCGCTATTCTGTGTTTACCGTTCATATGATGTTCATAATGGGGCATAAGAGGGCACATAATTCATACAGGGGGACCAGCCTTATTAGCCAATGATATTCCTTGAGTCTGTGAGTGACAGGAGAGCAGGCACTCTGAGTGGGAGCCAATCATCTTTCAGCTGGGCCAGTGGCTCTGCCCCTGTATACACTTCTGTTTTTATCATGTATGCCAGGGGTTCTCAGACTTCTAGGTCAATGGGCCGCATCAGATTTTTGTTCAGAGGTCCGGAACAATTTCCAGTAAGAAAACAGCATTTCGTGAACTGTAAAGAATTAACAACAACCTTCAATATAGACATCAATATATAACAATAACCGTAACTTGTCGTGAGTCCCCCGTTAATCCTGATGTGTGCGCAAAGTTTGCTGGTTCTACCTTGTATTTTTGTGCTTCAAACCATGTTAACCCTTTTTACATGAATCATATTGATTCCTAAGGTGTTTTACAGGCTGGGCCCGGATCAGCTTGGTGTTTGGTCCACATCTGGTCTGCAGTTGGGACTTTGCGAACCCCTGATATATGAAGTAACTTTTTTTTCTTTCCACTTCGCCTTATCACACAGCCTGCAGGAGACGTACGAGGCCAAAAGGAACGAGTTCATGGGTGAGCTGCAGAAGAAGGAGGAGGAGATGAGGCAGATGTTCGTGCAGAGGGTGAAGGAGAAGGAGGCCGAGCTCAAGGAGGCGGAAAAGGAGGTCCGTGGGTCCGCATGCAAGCGTAGTGCAAGGAATCTTCAGTCGTGTCTCTCTTGATCCGGGTAATCAGCAAGACGCTTCTTTCCATAATCGCGCTCATTCCCCTGCTGATCCGATTTTGTAGCTGCACGAGAAGTTTGACCGGCTGAAGAAGCTCCACCAGGATGAGAAGAAGAAGCTGGAGGATAAGAAGAAATCCTTGGAGGAGGAGCTGAACGCCTTCAAGCAGAGGAAGACGGCCACTGAGCTGCTGCAGTCCCAGGCCCAACAGGCAGGGGGCTCCACCACGCTCAAGCGGGACAAGGAGAGGAAAAAGTGAGTATCGCTGCCGATGTCACCCCATCCAGCTCTTAGGCATCTCAGGTATACTGGCGCAGCCCCCTCTCCTGTCCCCTGTGGCCTTACAGAAGGATTACCACTGACTGTACGGAGAAAGGGAGTTTACTATTTCCATAATGTGCAATTTAGAAGCAGCGAAAGGGTCCATGTTCTGTACATACCTACCCATGCATTTTAGCGTAACTGGTGTAAAATGGGCAGCTGATGGTCGTATGGATTCTGACTAGTCTGAGGTAAATGTGAACCCTTTTGAACATGTGAACTCGTACTACAGCAGCATAGCATGCTTGCAGTTGCCAGTAAATCATTGTTTCCTTATGGTTATACACTCTTTGTTTGGTTTGTTCAACAATGTTAAGCCATATTTGAGCATGGGAGCCATATTTGTCCAGAGCAAGAAGATTTAGGGGTTTAATAGCCTACAGAATGTTCATGTGTAATTCTTATGATTTTATGTAATTTTTGTATAATTTCGCAATCATACATGACTTGAAGTAGATATTTTCAGTAGTGAATGTGTATTAGTTTATTTTTCCATAACATGATGTATGTTTGGATTTTTTTTTTTTAATCTTTTTTTTTTCTTGTTTTTTTTTTCTGTTCAACTTCAAACTTAAAGCCAAAGGTAATTGGACAATTTAGTCTTAAATGCAGCCAGTCTGTTCACAAATGCAATATATTGGGTGTCCACAGAGATCTACAATGTCACAATCTTTCATTTTTGGGTCTAGGAGAGTCAATATGTGTGTTTTTTTTTTTTGTTTTTTTTTTTATTTTGACATCTTTCCCTCTAACCTGCCTGTGGTTGTTTTTTAATTTCATTTGATAATTTCTCTAACATGGAGTTTATTTCCCCTAAAATCTCTTCTCCTTTCTGCTGTTCTAAAGCTTTGTGTTGAGAAGAACGCCGCTCTCTCTGGTCTCCATTTCCATTTTATCTGGTTCGATCTACTAAAGGCCTACAGGTCGCTGGGTACGACAGTAAGCTTTGGCTTTAAATCCACTATAAATTGGCACACAACATTCAGTCTGGGTTTCCCATGTGATCCTCAGTCAGATCCAGCCAATGGGCTCCAGATCACTGTTTTCCCAGCAACCAATCAGAAGCATGGTGTTTCCTGTGCAGTGGCACTGCAGAAACATGCATCTGTGCCATTAGCAGTGTGTCACAGGTTTGGCATGTGTCGTTTTGCGTTTCACCCTGCCACGTCTCCCTTGTGCATGCCGCATGCCCCCTTTGGTCATGATACGGTCGTTCCTACTGACCTCAAAGCAGCCAACCTAACCGGCGCTGCTCAGGTCCGCTCTCTGCAGAGGGCGCGTTTAGTCTGCTCGTTTAAATGGGTTAAAAGGGAAATGCTGAATAGTCTACAACTGAATATAGCTAGCCCATCTCTGCATGAAAGCAAGGTCAATAAGTAGGTAAACTTGAGCTTCACCTCAGTAGCTATAGTAAAATACACAAACTGTTGGCTAAAGTACCAAATAAATAGAAGTGGAGTAACTTCTTTACACTTGCAAAACGTCAAGAGTCGCATAAAATAATTGCATAATTGCATTACATTAAATTTGGAATCTTTTTATAAAGTAACTTGGGAAATGAGAACTTATTTTTAGAAAGTAGTGCAGGCCGTGCGTACAGAGACCTCGTCACAGTGCCTCGTTTTGTTTTAATATTGGAAAACGAATCGCAGATGGTTGCTTCCTGGAAGCAGCTCCGGTTCTGGCTGCTGGGTATCCGGTTCTCGTAGCTTCCAGCCAGCGCCAAGCAGAAAGAGCCTCGGTCCCGACCGGCCGTCAGCCTGTGAGCTGCCTGCTCTGGCGGCCCTGGCAGATTGAAGCTTACAGCGGCCCTTTGTACTGGCTCTCCCTTCTTATGGAGCCTTCAGCAGGGACACGGATCCGTCTGTCACGCTGAGCTTAGATTACGTAGCTGTACCAGTGGGGGCCTCTGCTCATCTAGTGACTCGGGTGGGGGCAGACATAAGGAGAGAGGTGGAAGGTGCCCCCAGTTCTGTCACAGAATGTGTCGTCTGAGGGAGAGAATAATCTGTAGCCAGACAGAGGGTGTTACTCACAGTCCATAAATACTGCTGATTACAATCAATCAAACGAGAGCCGTCTGCTCTGAGCGGCTCCTTCACTGAACGCGGCCGTGGCGGATTCCTCAGCTCTGGTTCATCTTTCGCTTCCGTTTCCTAGCTTGCCATGCCGGTCTTCCCTGCGAGCTTCACACTTTCAGCATTTAAGGAAACAATTTCAAAGTACTGACACTGGAAAAAAAAACTACAGTTTCACAGTAGTTTCTGATTTGTCACACTTACGGCCACTGCTTCGTTCTAAACTGTTCCTGTTCAGCTATACTAAAATTACTAATTACCCAGTTTTGTTTCAAACACCCCTAAACTTGATGCAAACCAAAAGTATCACCAATCTCCTCCTCTAATGGTCCTTCTCTCTCGTTTTCCAGTTGAGGCTCCCTGTAGAAAGTGCTTCCCCGGCCAGCTGTGAATTTCTCAGCAATTCCTCCCTAGCCGTGCTTCCCTGTGATCTCTGGCCGGCCCCGCCCCACTCCCTGCCCGGCCCTGCCTTACCCCATCTTGGCCCCGCCCCCTCCCATATTGGCCCCGCCCCTCACAATTCTTGGCCCTGCCTGGCCCCGCCTGGTCCCGTTTCTGCCCTGCCCACACTGCCCTTCCCCCTCCCTTTTACAAAAAAACATTCCATACTGATGGAAGAAGCCAGTCATAAATGTGAAAGGAACTGCTGATATATGCATTTTTATAAGACTCTTAAGGTCCTTGAACATTTTTATGTGCTTATTCTATTGCATTGTGTCTCAGTCCTGCATGCTGCAGTGTGGTGCAATTTTTTTACGTGCAGCTACTGCTGATTCAGGTGTTTTTTTTTATTTTTTTTTATTTTGTTTTTTTTTTTTATTGTTTGTGGGAGTGCTGTCAAAGTGAGACGAGAGCAGAAGACAGAACCCCTCTGGGCAGGCAGTCGTTAAGGACCTCGCTTTGCTTGGTGTGGGCAGCGTAAACACACTGGGGTGTCGCCTGCTTAGTCGGGGACATGGAAGCCTGCCACGCCCATTGTCACCCCAGATAGTTTTACAAGGAGCCTTTCATTGTCTAGGGAATATTAAGAATTTTCTCACAAGTTTATTTGTACATTTTTACCTTTTTCTAACCCTGAGTTTAACACCTAAGCATGTGCAGATGTGCTTGTGTTTGCTCTGAATCTGCCAGTGCTGTGTGTGAATGTTACTCCTCAGGATTTACCTGCAGTCATACCTCATAGTCTTCTGTTGGTCATGCTATCTATATATAAAAATTTTTTTATATATATAAAAAATAAATGTGTTGTGTTATTGTCACCCCTCCCCCCCAATTTATGCTGAAGCACAATTTTAGCAAACTACAATGAAAGGAGCAACTCTGTATCTGGACAAAATCTATTTCTTCAAAGCAAATAAAAAGCAATAAACTGACCTTCCCTGCTGCCAGACTCCTTGTGTTACTGCATTACTTGCCCGGTAATCAGAAGTCTGTGCGTCCCTGTCGCTCTTCACTTGGCCTCATCATTTTTTAATTTTTTTTTTCCTCTCGCCTTCTTCCTGAATCTGTGGGAAAACACACAGCTTCTGTTTTTCTGCTGTTTGCATCACTGTTTCACTGCCTCCTCTGGGTTTTGCTGCCAGTGAAACGGGAACATGGTGCCTGTTTGCCCCCCCCCCAATTTGGTGGATGACTGAGCTATGATCCATGCTTAATTTTTTTTTTTTAAACTTCTGCTTAGTGCAAATAAATACCGTAGATATTGTGTAATCTTTATCCTCCAACTGTTATCTAAAATTCTTCACACTGTATAACTATTCTTTTTACAAACAAACTTGTCTGATTTCTCATTGGTTGGAAATTCTAACCAATCAGAATCACAGGAAATTCCTATGGTTATAGTGATCATCACTTTGCAAAATGGACTGATTCCATGCTAAAGACCGTGACAGTGTATCAGTCAGTCAGACAGACCTCACAGACCCCAGCCTATTAGTCACTAAGTGAATTGCATCATGCTAAAGACCGTGACAGTGTATCAGTCAGTCAGACCTCACAGACCCCAGCCTATTAGTCACTAAGTGAATTGCATCATGCTAAAGACCGTGACAGTGTATCACAGACAGACCTCACAGACCCCAGCCTATTAGTCACTAAGTGAATTGCATCATGCTAAAGACCGTGACAGTGTATCACAGACAGACCTCACAG